GTGGAACTGGAAGTGAACGTCTAAACTAAAGGCTGGCTTTCTTCTAGACACCTGCCTCAGCTCAGCAGCTCAGTCGCACTTTTACTCCGGATCGTATGCATTCTGAATCTGTCCGATCTTTGTAGCAGTCACTATCATGACATGCACGTGTGTGTGTGTGTGTGTGTGTGTCTGTGTTCGATCATTCACGCGGAGGTGTGAATGACGACACACAGTAACCGCCCCGTCGCCATTTTGCAAGGACCATTGTCCCTGGCTAGTTAGAAGAGAGCACTCAGCTTTGTTTGTTTTTGATTTCAAGGATCATAATGAAAAAAGATGGTATTGTTGTTTAAAAAATGACATTCCAGTTTCTTCCTAGGCGTTATGGGACGTTTGTCTGGAACACTCAGGCCATGGAATGTTAGTGTGCCGGCAGTACTATTATCTGAGGTTGTCCTCTGCTCCACGGGCATACATGTATGTCTAGGCCAGACTGTGGCTTCTCCACGTTTTTAGTAGTTTTTACTATACATGTACATGTACTGACACATGTGCATGCACAAAGCACAATCATCATGTTAGGCCTTTGCGGATAATGCCGGCAGAAACATTGGCAGAATTCGGTACTTTTTCTGGTAAGTTTCATGCATGTTTGGTATGTGGATAAAGAAATGGAGCAGAATTCGAGGAATTGCCCGCCATAAGGTTTGTATGGTTCTGCCAATTTCACTGCTTTTCGAGCAGAATCTGCCCATGCCTACATCATGTACATGTATATTAAGTTTAAAAAAACTCTGAGCTACATGTACAATCATGATTGTATACGCAGGCAGTACGGAATATTAGCCAGCGCATGTCGGATTTTCTCCTTGAACCTTGCCCAACCGTTTGCACTAAGGTCTTGTGTAGCATCCTCTTTGATCCTGTTAGTTGCTCACTGCTACAGAGCAGTTTTGGATATGTGCAAATTGTACGTTATGAGGAATTGTGTGTTGCTTCCTACATGACACTTGGATTCTCACT